ATATTATCTAAGAATTAAGGGACCAATTAGAAAAAATAGAATGATTAGCCAACTAAAACTATTTCAACCAGAGAAGTTCAAAGTTACTTATTACGGTTTTCAAAACAGTTTTCTAGATAGGAGAGCTGAATGTCCCATTTGTAATACATGTGAACCAGAAGATTTATACCGTTTTTTGTTGCAATGTCCTACATATGAAACTTTTAGAAGTAAGTACTTAAGTAACTATATTTATGATAATTCTGACGATAAAGAACAGATAGTAAAATGATTACATATAGAAAATAAATAGGAACTCGATGATTTATACTGGTATGTCGAAGATTGCTTGAAATTATGGAATCTTTTTATGTTTCCTATTCAAGAATGAATAGTTTTATTATTAAGTTTAAGGTTAAGATTATTTGTAAATAATAATATTAGGACTTAACATCATATATTATTTTATTCAAGATAGTGTGTATATTTTATAATTGTATCAAACATAATTGTTTTATTTTACTGGTTCTTACTATTAATGTATTTATTTTGATTTCATGTATATAAACTCAACTCCATTTGTATGGGTCTATATATATATATATATATATATATATATATATATATATATATATATATATATATTATATTTTTATAATACCTTTCACCTAATCTGTTTACACAAATCTAACTGACTATCAAATCAAGGTTCTGGATTTGAGTCCAGATGTGGCAGGTAATTATTTATTTGTTAATATCAGGAGATCCTCCTAGGGGCATACCCAGCCTCTATAAAGGGGATACTCTTAATGAAATAATTAATTAAAAAGAAAACCTGGTAATTGAGTATGATTCCAGCCCAATCATCGCCCTGCTGCACTACCGTTGGCCTTGAAACAGTACTTCCTTACATAGTACTGAGCCCAAGACTCTTTATGGGTTGCAGTGGCACAGTATTTTTTTAAAAATTGTAAAGACTATTGGTGGTATGTACAGACGTTTATAATAGTGTTCAGAGATCACATTCACAACTACATATTTTATATGTGAAAATTAAACCAAAAATCTTTTTTTACATTTTAAGTCAACATAAAAAACACTTTGGAATAGATTAAAAATCATATGATTTATTATATTAATTCATATGAAATTAATAGTTAAATCAGCTATTAACAAGACGGTATAACCATTCACTATAAATAAAATTAAAATTGAGAAATAGCAAATTCAAAGATAACCATTTATACAAATAAAATTACCATTATACAGGCTGTCTTCAGAAATAAATTGTTGCCCTAAATAGGACATAAAAAATAAGTTTTATGAGCTCAAGGAAAACTAACCTTGAAGCAATTCTGTTTGAAATAATATTACTTGGTAATATATAGATGGTAAAAATAGTATTACTTTGCTTTAAAAAACATATTTTTTGTCCCTTTTATTATATGTATGATTAAATAGTTGTTAAATTGAAAATTTATATTCTCTTAATATTTTGTAAAATAAAAACTTTATAAGCCTTTACTGTGAAATCAAGGTGTATTTTTTTTTTTTTTAATGAGGTAATAGTATGCCAAATTTTAATGTTAAGTTTGCCAAATGAACACAAAGTCCAAATGTTATCCCTACTAGTATAAAAAAATACTTTTATTTTTATTCACTCATTTACATCGTATATGTTTTAATTGTTAAATATTAATTCAATTATATTAATCATGTTAACTTAATGCTGACCTGTTCATTAAATTTATGTTGCCTCTGTTACTTATTTAAAATTTTATCAGTACTAAAATTAAAATTATAATTATATTGTTTATCTAGTGTACATATTATTGGGGTTATCAGGATTTGATTTGTGCTGTCTCTCATTTAATATTGGTTAGGACATACTTCAAATTCAATTTTGTACTTTATTTATTATTTATTTTATTTTACTTTATTATTTAATTTTGTAAATAAAATTTGGCTAAGAATTATTTTATATTTTATCTTTCATATGTGTTTGTCTAATTTAGGAAATTGTATGTGCCAAAATTTTTATTATAAGTATGATCAGGCTTGGTGAATGTTCTTTTAATTATATCTAATTGTATTTAAAAAGGTGTTGCCCTTTGCTGTTGCAGTAGTTTCTTTATTACTGGTTTGAATACTATTGTTGTTATCAATTATTTTAAAGTAATCGGTAACTTTTTTTTTTGTTACTTTTCTTCCCATTTAATCATAAAGAATAAATTTGTGTATTAGGATAAAAATTACTCTTACGGGTATGGTGTATATATATATACATACATATTATATCAGAAATCTTATCAGTTAGCATAATAGCAGATCTCTATAATGAAATTTCTAGTTGTATTTAACAGGACCTGTAAATGAAAATTTGATTTTTATTTTTAATCAGTATCGATAAGAGTGGAAACTTTTTTTTTCCGGTTATTTCTCAACTAGAAATTTATTTCATGCAACTTTTCAAGTAAAATTTTGTCTGTCCAAAAAATGGTAATAGAGCATTACATTCTACTCCAAGAAAGGAAATAAAAGAACCATGTAGTTTATTTTGGATAAAATATATCTGTAATATGAACACAATTACTGTTTATTGCTCATGTAACAACTTTTTGAAATAAATAAATGAAAGTTGTACTTTTACCATAAATCAATAATTTTATTGCAAAAAAGTTCCTTAGAATTTTATTTCTAAAACTTTTTTCCTAAAATGTTTCAATGAAGCTTATTATAAAAGTTTCAACTTTTGATATTAACTATTTGTGCCTAGGAACATTTAAAAAAAAATTGATGTAAAATTGTTTATTGTAGAAAATAGACCCCTGTCTAAGTGGAGCCGAAACATCCATTAAAATAAATAAAGAATCTGAAGTATGGAATTTCACAAATAGGTGAACATTAAAAAAATAGTAAACACAATATTTCATAAGTAAAATAATACCAAAATTGCACTTCCTATAAGTTAAATATTATTAAATTTAATTTTTTACTAGTCTGTTCGTACAAGTATGTTTCAACTTGCAGGCTTCTCCTAATAAGAGGGTAATGGTCTAACTACCCTCTAACTGAATGGTAATGGTCTAACTAAATGTTGGATATGCTTGAGACTGACTATTTTTATCAGAAAAATTAAGTTATAATTCTTTACTAAGAAATTTATATTAATCCATACCTACTTTTATAGTACTTCTAATAAGGTATCAATATCTAAAAGCTTTACTTTTTAACTTACACCACTTTCAATGGTTCAATAATAAATAGTTCCTAGATTGAAACTGGCTCATTATCAGTTACAAGGAAAAAGAAAAGTTTTTTTAAAATTGAAAATATTTGACAAATTTAATTGAATTACATGATAAATTAATTTTGCAACATTATAACCTTCTACCAACAAAGGAACAAATTTCATTTATGCAAACCATAGTATGATTAGTTCTGACAAATCTAATTGACTAACATAGCCTTTCCACCATTCCATTGTAGCTTTCATCATATAAATACTATACATGAACACCAACAAATTAATAGAAGCTGATCAATTACTTAGTAGAAATAAGGAAAATAATAACTAAAAATTTTTTTTTTCAAATATGAACACCAAAAAATCAATATATATATATATATATATATATATATATATATATATATATATATATATGAGAACACTGATACATTTGATAAAGATAATACAGCACACTTCATACTTTCCAAGAGTTTTCTTCTCCTCCACTACTGACACTCTTTCTAAAACTTGTGAAGTGAGGAAATGTGTTTCCTCCACACTAAATATTTATTGAGTCACCTACAGACAATCATAAAAAACAAGTTATTGTACAGTAACACCACCGTTGCCTTCCTTTACTGAATCCTTCCAGTGGAGTGAAGAAAAAAACGTTTTCAATAAAATTTTTCTTTTTTAGCTTATTTCCAACCTCTTAAATATTCCTCTTAAAAATAATAATTTTAGAATTATAATAATAGCAAAAATAATAATAATAACACAATAATAATATTTTCTATCAGTTGAATATAAGTTGTAGAGAGTGTAAAGAGGAATTTTGGAAATATGGAAGGGCCCTTGATCTTTCCCAAATGTCCCTTATAGTAGAAGGGAACTTGAAGGGATGGACTCTGATCTCAGCCAATTAGGAACATTAAGGAAATAGTGAAGTATAAATATGTAGTTTTCAATGTGATATCTGAACAAGATTATAAACGTCTATGCATATCACCAATAGTATTTACAATTTAAAAAAAAAACCCACTGCCACCCATTAAGGGTCTTGGGCTCAGTACTATGTAAGGAAGTACTGTTTCAAGACCAACGGTAGTGCAGCAAAGAGATGATTGGGCTGGAATCATGTCAATCACCAGATTTTCTCCTTAATTAATTATTTCATTAAGAGTACTCCCTTATGGAGGCTGGGTATGCCCCTAGGAGGATCTCCTGATGTTAACGAACAAATAATTACTTGCCACAGCTGGATTCAAACCCAGAACGTTGATTTGTAAGCCAGTTAGATTTGTGTAAACAGATTAGGTGAAAGATATTATAAAAATATAATATAGAATACTATTAAGGCCACAGTTATTTTTGATCCAGCAATTATGATTCCAACTGTTAAATCTCTTCAATAAATTTTGTTAATTTATTTTTGAGATTTTGTTAATTTTTAATAAGTTATTATTCAAAGTCCATAAAACATGTATAAGCCAGGATGTCTATGCATACCACCATACGTCTTAGAAATAAGAAGATTTTTGGTTTAATTTTCAAATATAAAATATATAGTTGTAAATGTGATCTCTGAACACTATTATAATTGTCCTTTGAGATAAATGTAATATTTCTCAATAAACAAGTTTAAAAAAAAAAAGAAAAAGAAATTGTTTACACAAAACTACAACATTTGATGATAATTTTCTTTGAACCATATAAAATACATAATAAAAAAAATATATGAGGTTAAAAAGAAGAAAGATATTGTACGATTAATCATTAATGCATACTTTACCTCCAAAGTGCCTGTTACTTAAATCTCTATATTTGTACAAAATTTCTAAAGGCTTGATTGCAACATCATAAAGCTTTTTCAGCTCTCTAAGTGTGCTTTCAGCTATTTTTCCAAGTGCTTTTTCAATCTCCTCACTCTCACTGCTGAGGCGAAGGATCTGTGACATATGTTCTCGAGACCTAAGATTCTCTGGAATTTCCATGATCTGTAAGAAAAATCATATATTCAACTGAAAACAGTTAACTTTATTGTAAACTATCATGATTTATTTAATTAAACTTATTAATTAGTATAGTGCCCAAGACCCATAAAATAAAATTTCTATTTCAGGCAAATAATTAGCTCTACAATGTATGTAGAACACTGATATTAAGAGAGAATTAGAAATGGATATTTGAAAAATTAAAGTATACATTTCTCTTGTTTAATTATCATTAAATAAAATCATAAAATTATGTTTTAGGGGAGCTAAGAAAATGATAGCAATACGGATAAGTTGTCCAAATATTAAGAGAAAAGCCTAAGCTAATCAATCAATCCGCTAAAGAAGAATTTTTTAGAGACATGGAGAAATAGACCAGAATTGAGATATCTAACTAAACTTTCCACATTAATATTTACAAAAACTAAAAAATAATAATAAAAAACAAAACAAATGCAGTATATTTGACAAAAACTTTATACTGAATAAGAATTCATAAAAATAAATACTTTAAAAAAAAAAATATTATCACACATGTACTAGTTAAAAATTTGATTATATTCAGCTTCAGTCAGCCATGATGTTTTTGTTTTTTTGACAAATTAAAAATCTCAAGAAATTAGATAGCAAATAGTTATAATTTAATTCCTTATAATTTTGAATATAAATTTCATTTAATTAAAGTGAATGTAAATTGAATTGAAGTAGATGATATTTTCTTTTATCAGCACTAATAAATTAATTGGATGGAAAAAATATGATATGAATAAATCAATTAGAGAAATAAAATTGAGTATTTGGAACAAATTACCATTGACAATTCCTCTTCTGGACTAGATTCTTCTATTCGTTCTTGACATAAAAAAAAAAAAAAATAATAATAAATAAATAAAAAAGAAGAAAAGATTAGTACCAATAATTTTTATAATGATTCATGAACTTTATTGCAGTAAAAGAGTTCTTACCATCAGTTGTGACATTTTGTTTAGTAGTTTCTTCTTCAGATTTCAACCCTTCATCAGATACTTCTATGCTACTTTGTTTATCTACATCATTTACTGAAGATTGACTTTCATCAGCCTTTATATTTTCAACGCTTTCATCGTTATCAGGTACACCTGACTGTTCGGGCAATGCTTCACTGTCAACAGTACTTTCAACTGGAGCATCATTACTTGGTGTGGCCAAAGGTATTTCTTCATCAGAAACTATGCCACTGTCTGAAGCTAAATCTTCCCCTCCATGTGGTGGCTCATCACTTGCATTTTCAACAATCTCTTGACTCGCTGATTCATTAGAGTGTTCTGGTTCAGTTGCTTCAATGCTGACATCATTAGTACCTGATTCTTGGTCTTCAACAGCTTCTGTTGTTTCTGAAACTTCCACAGTAAAAGAAACAACTTCTTCTGGATTGATTTCTTTATCAGCAGAACTAACATCTGCCTCTTCTACTGATTCATCCTTTATTTGCTGTTTTTCAGTTTCATTATATTCTTCATCACTTTCTTGTTTTTCTATGCTGCTTTCGGGTACTGATTCTTCAGATTCTTTTTCCAATTTCTCTTGAGATGTCTCTTCAGGATCAGACTCCTGCTCCTCCTTACTTGTTTCAGGTTCAGTTTTTATTTCACTTTCCAATTCTTCAACAGTTTCTGTTTCAATTTCTTTCCCCGGTTCTGTAATTTCTTCAGCTGATTCATTGGACACTTCAGATTGTTCAGCAGTTTGTTCCTCTGTTCCAGATTCCATTTCTTCACCACCTTCGGAAATGGCTTCATCCTCTGCTTGAAGATCTGCTTCATTTTCTTCGATTGCTTGATCTACAACTGATTCTTGGTTACCCTTTTCTTCACTTTCATTGATAACTTCTTGACTCCCTTCCTTATTTTCAAGGGTGCTGTCTTCATTGCTACTTTCTTCAGCTTTCTCCTGACTTTCATCTTCCTTGGGAGGATTTAGCTCGATACTCTCTTCAATTATTTCTTCGGTCTGAATTGTTTGTTCGTCACTATCATTTTCTTTTTGACTTTCAACCTCTCCTGATTTTTCTTCTATTTCATCAATTAGTTGTGGAAGATCAGGAGGTACATCTTCAGAGGTCTGTAAGCAATAATATAGTTCAATAAAAATATATCATGCCAATTAACATGGGGAAGGATAAACAATACTAAACATAGAATATATTTTGATATAAGAATTAATCAATGTCTTTGAAGTTTAAAGGAGATAATTTGTCCCTCATGTATAGCATATTTTCCAGCTAATATATAAATTGTCGTAGAAGAAGTTGATTGGGGATGTAGTTTGTTATAATAATATACTAATAAGATTCCTTATTTTATGTTTCATTTCATCACTGATATAATTAAATAATCAACATTTACTGAAATTTGTTCTATAATCAACAATATCTCCACCATAGTAACATTCTTAAATGTTAATCCTTATTTCTTCAATCTAAATCCTAGAAAAAGTAGTAAAAATAATAACATTGGGAAAAAAATAGAACGATGTATATTAAAACAGAACATGAGATATTCAGATATGGATTAAGGTCATTTATCAGTATATGAAAGTAAACATGATGATATTGAGAAACTTACTGATGCTCTTATAAGTGAATATGGAACTAAATGTATGACAGTGAAGGGATTGTTGGAGATGTAATCACCTTGCAAAGATTTTTAAATTACCCTAACCTAAAACTTCAATTTTGGAACATTGACATTACGTGCATTTGTCAATGTTTCTGCTGAACTGAAAATTTGCGTAATTCTTCAAATTCTTTGTTTCTTGTTTAGTGAAATTAAGTAATTTCACTCTATTTCACAACTGCTCATGAACAAACAATAGTTGATAGTCATTCTCTTGCTATAAGGCTGGAACTAGAGAGAGGAGAGAAAAATGCAGGATTTAGGAGGAGGCAAATTTTCAGAGGAAAAACATTATTTCAAGGTTCGTAATAGTATTTGTTCATTTTTTAGTTTAACCTCAATTCAGACAAAATAACTAACAAACTGTTAAAAAACTGTATACTTTTATTAAGGGAAGAGAAGGTGGTAATGGATGGGATCTCAAAATTAAATTTTAAAAATCTTTTGGAAAAATCCTAGTTCAGCCCAGTTCTTAAAACTTCTTTAACATTTTTGAAACGTGATTAGCCAGTCCATCAGCTCAAATTTCAAAACCAAAAGATTCTGTTAAATGCAATTGGAATCAGTAGGTAGCTTTAGGTGGATCACAGTCAATAGCAAATTGAGGATTTAATTTTGGGGGAGTAAGCTTCTTTTTCATTCTTTTTTTAATGGCAGTAATTACAAGCTGAAGTATTTTTATGCTGAAGAAAATATCGTGATATTTAAGTATTTGGCTCATGGCACTCATAGAAACAAAAATGGACCAATGAAAATAAACTCTCAACCTCAAAAAAATACTTCTCAATTCACTCTAATCATTGGCGCAGACTTTCCATTGTGAGGTGGGGGCGATGGATCTCACCACCAAAAAAGTTATGTATAGAAATTGTGAGTGATAATTAACATAATCAACGTAATTATTGTAAAACGAACAATATAATCATAAATATAAAAATAAATTTATATATTAGATTTAATTTACGAATGGATATATTTGAAAATATATTAACAAAGCAATTGAATACATTACATATTTAATTTTTATTTAAAGGTTTGAGGCAGTGAGATGAACTCTCAATTTTCCAATGTTCAAGTTTATTATGTGAAATGCGATAAAATCTTCACTTAAAAATGGAGGAGTGAACATGAGTAAATCATAAACTAAAAATCTTTGCATATAAACTAAAAATTTCAATAATAAGAATATAGGGTAAAATACTTGCACACCTACTTCTAGACCTTAGCTTAGCTATGTATCTAATTGACATTTCATATTTCTTTAATTGATTATAGTTTATACATTTTATTCATTCATGTGTATTAATTACTATTGATTTTGATTTTATTTTTGTTCCTCGAAATATTGAGGAAGGAACGAAACGATATCCTCGCCCCCTCTCTATTTTTATGTACCCCCCCCCCTCCCCGAAGTATGTGTCATTGAGTCTAATACACATGTTATTGAAATGACTAGTATTTGAAGTAAAAATAGGATTTCCTATCATTATACCAGTTCATGATTTTTAAACTATGATACGAGTACACAGCATTCATTTCTTAACTTTTGGTAATAAAGGTGGAATCGAACCCATACTAGTCATGGAATTGGTTCAGTCCCTGCCATCCGCTTTGAAACTTCTTAGCAGTGTCGTGGCTAGGTCAACTGGTGCCCGGAACAAACTGAAATATTAAGATTGCCGCTCTTTCTATTATCTACATTCACTATCCCCAGAAATATTCACTGAACTATGCATATATCTTTAAAAACTCTCTTTTAGTTCTGCACCTTGCTGTAAGCGACTCCCGAGGCGCCATATTTTATATATTAATTGTTATAAAATTATAAATTAAAGATAGGAATATTACCTCTGTTACTGTTGCATCCTCTTCAAGAGACTCAGATTCCCCAACATCATTTGTGTCCCTTGGTTCGTCTAGGAATAAAAATATTTGAGTTTTAATTACTGACAATAAAATTTCATGCTCTTAAATATGATCATGAAAAACGGAGAAACAATCCTTTTTGCTCTCACTTACCTATATATGCAATATATATTAAGGGTAAGGTCTGTGCGCGTGTGTGTATGTGAACAGTCTAGCTCAAAAACAAAAAGACATATGAAACTGATATTACGAATTTAAGATAGGTATATGCTTTAGATGTGACCGCAAATTTTCCCTTAAAATCGGCTAACCGGAAGTGCCACTTTATATCGATGATGAAATACATTTTTGCAATTTTCTCAAAAACAGCTCCAACAATTTTGATTAAACTCGGTGTATCATTGTATAATTGAGTGACCTTTAATATCATTGAGGTCTTATCACCATCGATGTCATTTTACAGGGCCTAAATGCCCAATGTTCATATACGTCTTCCTCTAAAATACCTTTCATATGGTTTATTTTGAAAATTTAACTCTCTTTTATTGACAGTAACTATAAAAAATTGCTAAATATAACTTTTGAAAGAATTTGATAGTTGAATAAAGGAAAAAAAAAAGAAAAATACTTAACCAAGTCGAAAATGAATCTCCGGAAATAATAATCAGAAGGTATACGTATAATATATCGTTGGAAAGCGGAGAATTTTAGAAAAAATAATATCAAATAAAGAAAGTTGTAGAAGGTAAGGGAAAGTGACAAAAATATATAAATAATAATTTCAGAAAACTATATTCTATTTAATTATTTATTGTTTAACATAAAACACATGTTTCCAACTTTTACATTTTGCTTCCTCACTACCGAAGGTAGGGAAGCATTGTGTTCGTGCGAGAGATTAAAAATTTTTTTTTCCTCAGAATCGAAAATTTTCACTCGCGTTTTACGTTTCAGACATCAAGGATCAAATTTGGTTCGGTGTCTGTCTGTCTGTCTGTCTGTAGTCAAATCGATGTGACGGGCATATCACCTAGTACCGTTCATCCAATCTTCATGAAATTTTCAGGGATTATGCTTATTGGTGCCTAGATGGTTCCATGTCAATTTTATCAAATTCCATCCAGCACTTCCGCTTACGCACGCGCAAACGTATATTTTTAGATATGCCAATATTTCAGAAAGGGCTCGTTCGATTTGGTTCAAAGTTAGATAAAAGGTAGATTTTGGTGAAAAAATAATGTAGTGTCAATTTCATTGAATTGTGTCCAACACTTTCTCTTATATGTGCACTACTTGTCCGCCGGCCGCCGTCCGCGCATTTTTTCTGAAACTACTAGACCGATTTTTTTCGAATTTGGATATAAATTCAGAGGTCACCCGAGGATCATCCTCCTTCAACGACATTACTATTCGCCTTCTAGTTTCAAAATGGCGGCCGAAAAACCTGCGTTGCTATAGACTGTAGCGCCTAAACGAATGTACCAATTTTGATGAAACTTCGCTAAAGTCATTTTCTCTACGCCCTCTAAATTTATCTATACTACATACTTCAACGAAAAGAAGCTCAAAAAAAGTTACGAGGGATGGTAAAATTAAATTCCGAATAACTCAAGAAGTATACACATTTATGTCAATATTGCGATAAGATGTTTCAAAGGTATTAAAATTTCCTAAAAAATGAAGAAAGTTTCAGCGAATTTTTATAAGTTTGAGAAAAAAATATTTAAAATGCACCGAATCAAGCCAATGCCATTGTTTAAAATACTATTCCATTGTATTTGTGTGAAAGAAATAGTGAAATATAAAAATATTTCATGGATATGTTTATAACCGTAAATACATTTACTGTAGTTTAATAACTCTAGATATGATATTATATTTAAATAACTAGGTATTTATTCCAAAAAATCATCAAATAATTTGATGAATTTCCCTTTGTGAAATCTACTAACAATTAGTGTGACAACTTTTGATCTATCCATGACGGGCATTGGAAATCTCGTAATTTCATTTTAGTAAACTTTACAATGGAAAATAACACTTTAATAACTGTTCTACATTCAATAATCATTTATCGGTTAAATATTTAGATATATAATACTTTCAAATCTCTAGGCATATATGAGCCTTTCGGTTGACGGAATGACTAACTCCAATTTCAAAATTGTTTATTATTAATTTTAGTGATGTTTCTAGCTGCAAAATTTATAACTTTATTCACAGTTCTATATTTCAACACTGCAATCACCTAATCTGGAATCAACTTACTCACTGTCTGTATAGATATAACTTTTCCAACTAGAAATATCACTAAAATGGCATTACTCAAAAATTTTGAAATTGGAGTTAGTCATTCTGTCAACTGAAAGGCTCAGAGACTGAAGTTGTGTGGTTTATAAAATCAGATGGAGTAACTAAATTCTTAATGCCTACCGTCGATATAATAAATAGACTTTTTGTAATTTTAATGGTCTTAATGATTTGTTATCTGTAAGCTTTAAGCTTTAGCTCCGTTTAAAATGCACTTCGAAAATTTTGTAATAGCCAACAATGCCAGAAAATAATTTATATTCAAAGTAGAGCGGTAAGTGAAAGTTGTGTGTTGGGCGCAACAGATTTTTTTCGAAGTAATTATCGTTTTATATATATAAAACAGTGTTGAAGCCGATCCCCAATAATTAAATCCTGGATCCACTAGTGTTGTTTATACATTATAAATTAAAAAGAGAATATACTATGATTGATTAAATGTTAAGCTTAGATCAAACACACACAAAAAAAAAATACGATCCAATGAAAAAAAAAAAATTCTTTTTGGTAGGGGCAGGGGCTTCAGCCCGAAAGACCATTGTAGATTTGCCAATAAGGAGTAATGTTTGGAAAACATTCTGCAATATTCTAATATCGTTGGTGCTTAAAATTAAAACATTTCCTTCCCACCACCAAAAAAAAAAATTTAACATAGGCAAATAAAAAAAAAAAAATACCTCTGATGTTTTCTTCCCCTGCCACCCATTACATTCCATTTATCCGCAATTCAAAGCGGTTTACAGTCGCGAGGCAATCAGGATTCCGCTAATAGCGTCAATGTAAACGTTTCCAAATCTCAATAACTGACAAATAAACAAAAAAAAACTTGTGCCACTACAACCCACGAAGGGTTTTGGATTCAGTACTTTGATAGGAAGTACCGTTTCAAGATAACAAAAGATTGTGCAGGGAGGTGATATCACCATGGTCACGCTCAACCACCAGGTTTTCCTCTAAATAATTAATTATTTAATTAAGAGTAACCACTTAATAGAGGCTGTGTGCACCTCAGGAGGGTTTCCCTACCCCAAAATCGATTCAAGGCTGATGAAAAATGACTTGACATTAGCCGGATTCGAACTCGGGATATTGAGCTTTATAACTGACAAAATGACCTGGAAAATTTAATTAATCTGTTTTAATTGATTTTAGTGGTAACAATTTGTAGAGTAAGTGAGTCAACTACGTATGGTACCTTTAAAGTACGGTTTCTCTGTTTGTTTTTTCTAATTTGCTGCTTTAGTTCTGTACAATCTTAATTTATTCTGTTTATCCATTTTTATTTTTTTTGGAGGGCTGTGTTCTCGGTTCACAACATCACAAGATAGAATGAGGCGATAACGGTCTCTGGTTAAAATACACAAGGTTCATTAAATCAATCAAAGTGGAGAATTATAAAAACCTATGTGTGTGTGTGTATATATATATATATATATATATATATATATATGCGGTTAAAAATGGAAAGTGGTACTGATCATGATAGATCATTGGAATGGAATGTTACGGTTGGATTTCTGCCGAGAACATTTTAGAGTGTGACGCAATACGTCAATATGAATACGCGAGGTATGTAGGCTGGAACTGTTTTATTTTCAATACTAGATCCAATTTATGAGTGTGTAGAGCGAAATAAAAATAGTTGAATGGATGTCGTACAGAACAATTGTTTTAAAGTCAAGTTTAGTTCAACGAGAAATTAGTGATTTTCAATATATGTTTATATTGGTGCAAAAATCGTATTAAACCTTTAAATGTTTATGTTTTTAAATAGCAAAATAATAATTATTATTTATAAAAAATAAATAATTGATTCAAATCGAGACATTAATCAACTTATGTTTACTACTTATGTTTCTTTACTGAGAAACGAAAAATTTCCTTTTCACTTTTTACTTTTTTAAATAATGGAAAGATGGAAGGAATACTTCCAAAATTTGCTGAAAGATAATAAAGATCCAACCCAAGTAAATGAAGAGCAGGACCAAGGAAATACTTGGGAAGAGGATGATTTTATCGACGAAGACGAACTAAAAGAAGCGCTACAGAGTATGAAGGATGAAATAACTCCCGAAATGCTGAAATATATGGGACCAAAAGGAAAAAAGATTACGTTGTACCTTTTGAACCTGGTTTGAAAGCAGAAGAAAATAACGAAAGATTGGGAAGTAGCAGTCATCGTTCAAATCCACAAGAAAGGAGATAACAGAGATTGTAACAACTACCGTGGAATATTAGACCAGTGAAACTCTCACTTCTTGCATTTGCCAATGCCATTGTTATTTTTGCAGAAGACTACAAAAATCTCCTACACAACATAAACAGGTTAAAAGCAGAACTGTTTAAGATTAACACAGTCATTAACCTACAAAGACAGAAGTAATAAGGATAGGGAAGAAGCCACGAAGAATTATGTGTGTCGTTGGAGTCGGACACACAGTCCTCGAGCAAGTGGAAAGTTTCAAATACAGAGGTTACTGAAAGAATGGCAAGCACTGGAAGAATATTTGAAGCAGTCAAGAGAGGCTTTCTGAATAGACAAGAGGTATACAACAAGACAAAACTGGCTGTGTTTAGGTCAATTTTTCTCCCATTCTGACGTATTCCTCGATATCGCTAACGCTGACAAAAAAACATCAAAGAGAATACAAGCGTTAGAAATGAGATTCCTCAGAAAAAATGAGGGGGAAACCAAGAAGAGACCGAATCCGTAACACTACAATTAGGGCACACCTCAACGTTAAACCAGCCCATGAAGTTATAGAAGAGAACAGACTTAGAGGGCTGGGACATCCTCTAAGAATGAAACCTACCAGAATTGCTAGGGAGGTCTATCAAGCCAAGGTTGACGGAAAGAGAGGAAAGGGTCGACCAAGAAATAAATGGGAAGATGAAGTAAAGAAGGATATCCTGAAAACAGGACTTCATTGGAATGAGAGAAGACGTTTGGTGGAAGAGCGGCAGAGCTGGAGAATGCTCTATAGAGTTCCTCCTCACACTGCATAGGCGGTACTATAGGAGAGAATATGATGTTGATGATTTTTCATTTTTTTTTTTATAACACAGGAATCCATTTTTAAAGAAAACTTTAGTTATTGTGATGCTGCCTTAATTTGATATCATAAATAAAATCAAAGTGGTTTGCAGAATCGTTGATCATTTTACTGCTGAACAGTCAGATTTCTAAAGTGATACATATTAAAGTAAAATTTATAAGTTCATGATTGATTTTTCAAAAATTAAATAATATATGCAAAAGGATTGTAGAGGCCGTCCGAGATGAAGTGCTTCAAACCACTAAGTACATATGTCCGTCACTAGGCTACACCACAGGCGAACCTTTTCGTAATATTTCAAATTTAACGTTCACGCACCTCAGCCAGAATAATATTTTTATTTCTTTGTAATATAAATTTGCAAGTTACGTAAAATGTAAATTACAAAAACTTGCTTGTAAAAAGAGTATACATTGTTACTTTTTTTACAAGGAAGTTTTTTGTCTTTTAAAAATATACTGATAAAAAAAACAAAAACAGATCTAGTATTTACGGGTATTACTCTCGGTTTTTTCTTTTTGTTGGAATGTTTGATACTATTGTACTATTATGTTTTTGTTCTCAGTGATCGGTATGATTGTTGCGATACTGATCAAGTTTAGATATTCCTTATCGATATCGGTCTTTGATATCGATATTAGTATAATATGGAATGAAGAATTGATTTAATTTTCAATTGATCGATTTTTTTATCGATTCCCAAGATCGGTGGCGCATGAACCTTCCCAAGATATTTTATTGCTCTCCTCTTCTTAAAAACAGTGTAAGCGATTAGTATAATTTAAAAATCATAGATTATATACAATTACAAATCCTGTAATCTGTTCCATACATCCCCTTGTCTTTTGGTTAGAAACTATCCATATGGGAAAGTCATAACCCCGTAAAAATATGCCCTCCTCAAAAATTCAAAACCCCGTCAAAATGTATACCCATCAAATATTTTGAAGGCGCAACTTGCGCCATGAAAGAGACTCTTCCACGGACTAATATTTTTCTACCTAAAACATTTTAATAGGGTGTATAAAAAAAAAAAAAAAAAAAAAAGACCGTTTTTCAACCAAATATTTGTATTATTATTTCTTTGATATAAATACATTAATACTCAAAGTATAGTCCATTGTTTTCTACCGTCATTAGCCATCTGCTAACCAATTGCTCGATGCCACGCTACCATTCTAAAGGATGGCTGTCAAAGAACTCTTGGACAGCAATTTCAACTTCCGCAAAATTATCAATGTTTTTCCCTTGAAGAAAATGGGCCATGGATCTAAATAAGTAGTAATCTGATGGTGCGAGGTCTGGACTATATGGTGGATGAGGCAGGAGTTCGAACTCATGAAGTTCTTTAAACTTTTCTTTGGTTCAACGGGAAGTGTCTGAGGGCGAGCATTATCTTGTCGGAACGAAATTCCTTTTCGGTTGATCAAAGCAGGATAACGCTCTGACAACTTCGCGTACAATCTTACCAGTTGTTCGTAGTACAGTTCAGAATTCATAGAGCATCCATCAGGAACAAATTCGTGATGAATAACCCTTCAAAATTAAAACAAAAACGCAAAGCATGGATGTTTTTAAAAATTGTTCTCTTGCAGCAACCGAAAAAGCTGTTTGACCGCGATCAAGCCATTGCTCACGGGTATTCGGATTTCGCCAGTTAACCCAGTTTTCATCAACGTTGACAACCTTTCGGTAAAATCTCATATCAGAAGCGTTTTTCAATAAATGTTCACAAATTTCTATCCTTTTAGCTGATTGCTGAGGAGTAAGTTCGTAAGGGACCTATCTACTGCTCTTTTTCACCTTCCCCATGGAGAGTAGATGGCGACTAATAGTATCTTTCGACAAACCACGCTCTCTGGCCAGTTCGCGAGTACTTGGGGACGGATTTGGTTCAACAGCTTCATGCAGAACCTCATCAATATCCATTAATGTCGCCCGGAGCCCTTTTTCCTTTTCAACATCGTATCAGCACTGCTACAATTTTCAAACTAACGCCGCGCAGTGCGCTGGTCAATGGCACCTCCCCTTCATATTTAATAATTTCACGAGTTGCTTCAGTTGCTGTGAAATTTTTTTCCTCAGTAATTTCTAAAAATTACGAGAATTTCGTAGGACACTGTCAAGTTTCTTCTTTCAAACAAATAACTCAATTGAGGCTTCTTTTGAAGAAGTCGAATGGGATTACGGAAGCTTAGAGAATGCTCTCTTTTTTTTTTTTTTTTTTTTTTTTTTTTTTTTTATTTATTTAGGTATATAATATTCTGTCTCGTGGACAATAATTATAGTGATAAATGAACACATTCACACCATATATACAGAAAATACAAAATTAACAAAGCAAAATAATAATAAAAAAGAACTTTGTGCAATAAAAAAAAAAAAATAAACTAAAGATAAGTAAATTAAAAACATAAAAACACAGTCATACCTATAGAGAATGCTCTAAAGGGATTATTAAGTATTAAATAGGATTAAAATATTTACGGTCCTTTGAAATTTTGAATTTGATTAAACGGTAACTTTTTATTATAAACCCTATTAGCCGAAATCGGTGACCCACTGACTTCATGAACCTCTTGTTTTACTGTTAGTAACCTTTTATTCGAATAATTCCCATGTCCATTGTTATTTTTACGAAAAATGGAAACACGTAGGAA